ACTTCCCCCAAAAGAACAACCCATCATAACCAATTGGGTCATTAAATCTCTAGACCCAGAATCAGACGATTCCTCCCTAATCCCAACCACCATTATCAAGAAGCCTAACTTTAAAACCAATCTTTGTAAATCAACAAACAAGAAACCTCAATCAAGACCCAAATTTCATCTTCCCCAATTATGAAACTGGTAAATTTTTCTTCATACACAGCTAGAAATATGAATTACAACGAAAAAGATTCATAAATTCTCAGTCGGAAAAACTGGTTTGTTTTCTTCATATACAACTTGTGGGTTTACCAAATTCTACAAGAAAAACCCTAAATTCACTCGGATTTCAAATTGGGAATCTTTCAAAGAGATGGATTGCTTAATTTCTTGAAAGAAACGAGAGGGAGAAATCATACCGATATGGAAGAAGCCGGTGGAAGAAGCCGATGTGGAATGAGCTCTCGTGGAAGGAGGCGATGTGGAAGAAGATGTCGTGGAGAAGGTGAGAAAAGAGACGATGATGAAGGAGGGTTAGTAATTAGGTTTTCTATTGGAATCTATTAGAAACAAGGGTAAGATAGTCAATTTGTATTTAGTCCCATGTTGTTCCACCTTTTTTGGTGGAACAAAAATCATCAAGTTTTGTCCCATGAAATTTAAAAATAGTCTCATCCTGTCCCATGTAATTTTTGTCCATGGCATGCGAAACATGTGACTATTTTTTTTTGTCCCGTCCCGTCCCATGTAGTCTGCATACCAAACGCACCCTAAATATGGGAACAAAAAATTAAAGTGGTCCCCGTCACCCGACCCGAACTGACCCAAAACCCGCCTAAACCCAGAACCGGCGTTGGCATCAAATATTGGGGTTCGGGTTCCGTCTTTCTCACCCGATACCCGATACCCGATCGGGTGTGAGTTTGGGCCCCGACCCATCCGTTGCTCACCCTACTTACAAGAACCTCATTTACTTTGAGTTTTTATACAAGAACCTTAGTTTTTAACATGAAGTTTGTTTGAATTGACAATTTCATAATTTTTTTATTTAATGACTTTATAATTATTAATATATACACATATGTATATATATATATATATATATATATATATATATATATATTTATATATACTAGAAGCGAACTTGCGCAATGCAGTGAGATACATCGTGATTTTAATATTTCATTTTATTCTTTATCTCAGTCGATGTTATAATATGACTTTATGTGATTTTGAGAAATCGATGATGTTTTTATTTTTGAATAAAATATATGTTTGAAGATATCATAAAAATTTGACAAAAATATATCGATATTAGTATCAAATTAGCTATCTGAAATTCCTCATTTTTTTGTGTAATTTTTTAATTCAATTTTTTTATAATTTAATTTATGTACAATAACGAAGTAACTTATATTTGGTTTAATAATGTAATTGTTTTATAAAGATAATAATTATTTATTTTGTTGGAACTCGATAATTATTCTAATTATATTTTAGATTTTTTATATTTTAAAATGAGATGTTCATCCTCTATT